ATGAAGAACTTCACCTCAGTGACCTACAACAATGGCAGGTGAGAGCCCTGTGTGAGGTTCTTGGGGCACAGAGCGCAGCCCAAGGGGCTGCAGACACACCATAAGGAATCCTCCCACACTCCACAGCTCAGAGTTCTCCCTCCTCCCGCAGTGTCCAGAACTTGGTCTCTGCCTCCATGAGGGCTAAGATTGCTGCCTATGCCATCACCTTGGCTCTGCACATCAACAACTTCCAGACAGACCTCACCATCCTGCAGAATGACCTGAAGCTCCAGGAGAGCAGGTGTGTGCTGAGATCCTGCTGGGAGGCCCTGGCAGAGCTCTGCAGCCTCCCTGGCTCCTAGGCAGGGCTGTCATTGCCTGGGGAAGGACCTGCAGGTGTGGGACCTGCGTTTCCCAGCCAGATGTCAGCCCATGGCTGCAGCTCAGCTGCTGCTGCAGCTGGGGCTTTGCTGCCTGTGCCTAATCCCACGGGATTCACTGGGATTGGGGTTTCTGGCCCAAACTCCCAGTTGTTACTGGACCTTATCAGAGCCCTCAGTCATCCCTTGGCTTTCATCTCTCCCTTGTCAGCCTTGGGGCAATCAGTTCTGATTTTGCTTTGTTGGGTACCAGTGGGTTTGCCGCAGTGCTTGCTGTTGGTTTCTGTCTGGTTTTCCCTTAGTTTTCTTCCTGGAACTAAGCTTTTCCAGGCAGCTGTGTTGATTGTGCAGTTGGTGCCCAGGTTTGATTTGTGCTGCCCTGGGGCTGGAAATGGGCTGGGATGCCGTGGGGAAGAGGATGGGTGAGACTGAGCCCTGATGGATAAATCAGCAGCATTCTGTGCCCAGGAGGGCTCTGGCACTCCCAGCTCTGTACCCATGTCGTCCCTGCATGGTGGAGTCTCCTCCAGGCCTCTCCCAGGGCTGCAGGGTGCGGATCCATGTGGTGCCAGGCACAGGAGGCTCCAGGGCCTCGCTGACCATGTCCCTCCGGTGTTTCCCAGGATGCTGGACATCGCCAAGGCCCTGAGGCTGAAGGTGAGCACGGCCAAGGGGGTGCCAGGGCTGGAGAGCGACCAGAAGCACCGTCTGGGCACCCTGTCCCTGCCCCTGCCCGAGCAGAAGGCGCCGCAGGGGCAGCGCAAGCGCAAGAAGATGGACTGAAGGCTCAGGTGGTCTGAGAGGAGACACAGCCTCTCATGGGGATTCAGCACCAGCCCTGACACTTCCGGAGCCAGGGCTGGGGTGGAGCAGATGTTTGCCCATTACAATGCTGCTTTTTTTGTATCCACAGGAAAAATGGTAATAAAACCTCTTCTCTTTTCCAGTCTGTCTGAGGGGAGGGTGGAGGTGGTGCTGGAGCAGGAGGGCACAGTCTGAGCTTGCTGGTCCTGCCTGACACCTGTGGCTCATGCTGCCTCATGGCCCCTTTGACCTGCTTACAGGTGCAGGGTGGGAAACAGAGAAAGACAAAGCAGGGTGTGACTTAAACACATCTCCTTGGCTTCATCTATGTTTGTCTCTGTAGTGTCAGTGTAATCCTGTGTTCTGGAGGTGTAAAGATGCA